GAACTCACTGAAGACAATTGGTGAACGGTTGCTCAACTTCGTGGATCAGTTGAAGTTAGACATTAACACCGTTGGATGCCAGCTCAGTGGTCTATCGGTTAAGGGCTTCAGCTCGAAGCTGGTAGGTCCTGGGTTCGAATCTCGCGCGAGCGGGTTCGTGGATGCTCACTGCTGAGGAGTCCCATAATAGGACGAAACGGCCGTCCAGTGTTTCCAGGTTTTCCATGGTGGTCTAGCTTCAATTGACTCATGCTTTAAAACTATGAAAAATATCTTAGGTGTTTATAAAAAATTTCATAAATAAATAATCTTTAAAAATTATTCATCTACCATCTGTAATTCATATGATAATGTAATCTTAATTGAATTGTATGTTTTTGTTTTTATGGTAGGAGGAATTTATTCCATTTGAGTTCAAGTTTTGTTATAGATTGATATTTAATGAAGAATTTCTTGTTTAAATTTTATTATTGCTTAGAACCTATGAATTATTCATTTTTACAATTTATTTAGTCCAGTGTTTAAATAATAACTAACTTCTAATAGAAATTTTAAAGTTTTAAACAAAACTTATAACTTAGTTTAACTCAATTATGTTAAGGATGAATTAGTTATACACTTTTATCCTGATGTAATTAAGACATTACTAAATGATTGAAATTAATTATATGAATCATTGATAATTTGATGATATCTATGCTCACTAAGAGAAATGAAAGTTTTGGGTTTCATTCATCTCGTTAAGTGTTATGATTGTTCAACGATTTATTGTTTTCAATAGTTCTACGACCATTTATGACTTAAAATTGTTAGATATTGGAATTCTATATACTTGTGGTGTGATCTACTTATATTTATATAAGTAGTATATGGTGTGGATCAGGCATAGAATGTATTTTCGGAGAAGACCGATGAGCAAAGAACTGAAATGAAGCGCAATAGTCTTGAAAATGCATGAGCAATGGAATAAAAGAAGAAACAGTGAAGATTGAAACAATTGGTTGTTAATTTACAAATTGACTGTTCATTCTTTGGTTATCAGAATTTACTGAGATAGTCTGTAATCTTTGCTTAAATACATTCGATTGTCCCCCAGTCGTGTTTTGTTCACTACATACTCACTGAATTTTCTGTTCACTACATTTGGTGTCGCTGCCAACCAGGAGGAGGGAGGGTGCTGTTCTGCGGACGCCCTGCGGGTCTGGAGTTGAGGTGCTAGTTGGGGCAGTCTGGTGCTTGGAGTTGGCGTCGAGTGAAGTGTTCTGGCGGGGCAGCGTTGGCTGTAGCAGGTGCTGTCGACGGAGAGGAACAGTGGGACGTGCGGCTGCTGGGCGGACATCGGATGTAGATGGCTCAGCAGGCCGGTGGAGTACGGATGTTGAACGTCCCAGGTGCCGGGTGTATGCGGATGTTGGTGCCCCGGCAAGTCGACGGAGCTATGGAGGTCAGCGCGCCGCAGACTCGACATTCTGACGGAGTGTTTGGCACAGACTGCAGTGAAAGAAGATAGTGGCATGGCGAGCAGAACCACCGCATGGTCGAATGCTTTAAAGGGGGGACGAGTGTGGTGTGGTCTACTTATATCCATATAAGTAGTATATGGTGTGGATCAGGCATAGAATGTATTTTCGGAGAAGACCGATGAGCAAAGAACTGAAATGAAGCGCAATAGTCTTGAAAATGCATGAGCAATGGAATAAAAGAAGAAACAGTGAAGATTGAAACAATTGGTTGTTAATTTACAAATTGACTGTTCATTCTTTGGTTATCAGAATTTACTGAGATAGTCTGTAATCTTTGCTTAAATACATTCGATTGTCCCCCAGTCGTGTTTTGTTCACTACATACTCACTTAATGAGATAACCAAATTATTAAGTCTACGAATGTTGAATCCTTTTGTGCTAAATAATACGAATGATCATTAATTAACCAGTTGTGCCCGCTAAGTATTCTGACGTTAAATTAATAACGTAACGTATTTCTACTCCCAGTGTTCTAAACCAAAACACTAGACAAATTGATCAATCTACTCTATACAAATTATAATTTAAAACTCATATGATAATATATATCAATTACAAAACTATCACATAAAAATCACAAACTGTTCATAGGTTGGTTATTCATGTTATGGAATTGAGTAATTGTGAGATAGTGGAGAAGATTTGTAGCTAAGGTGGGTGATTTTGATGTAGTTTTGTTCTCTGAGCTGGATAGTTTGATCGTGGAGCTTTCATCATCCTTCTGAACGATGTCATCAGCAAAAACTTCGAGTAGAAGTGAAATGTTTGAATTTGTGCTGCTGGTGATGTCATTCAGAAGGACTATGGAAGCTCCAAGACCAAACCATCCAGCTCAGAGAACAAAACTCTATCAAGAAAAAAATTATGTAATTGTATTTCATAAACCATAAAATATATAGATATCAGCAGGTAATGCACAGAAATAAATCTTCCATCTCTTTAAGCATAATCATTTGTTGAAACCATGGTAACATATTTTTAAAATGTGACATACCGTTTAAACATATTAACAATGATCTTCTTCATATATATATTGACATCATGTGAAATACACTTTCTTAATTACGATATCTAATTAGTCAGTTATTTAAAACAATTTATTGATTCTATATGATTGTTATTCTAATTTTGATTGTGATTATGAACCGATGAATACTTGATCATTATTGGAAACCTTGAAGTAATCATTGACCGTTTTGTCCTAATATGAAACTCCTCAGAATTGCTTATCCATGATCCTACATACAAGACTCGAACCTATGACCTTCGGGTCTGGCGAGCAAACACTAAACCTGTAGATCACTGAGCCGGTATACATGAAATTGCTCTACCATCTTCTATTGTTTGAGATAGATACCTATCTCTACCTGATACGGATTGAACTTCACTGGTTATAACTTCTCTCTAGAACTCCAAGAATTCCTTCATGAAGCTAGTCATTAGTAAGCACATGGTAAACTTAAAGGTCTCCACACACCTTATATTGACTATTATTATTATCATTATTAAAGTATATTTTATCAGGACGAAACGGCTGTCCAGTGCTTCAAGGTTTTCCGTGGTGTTCTATCTTCAATTGACTCATGATTTCAAGTATATATAAAAATTACTTAAAATCTCCACAGAAAACCCACTTATCATATGCTCACTAGTGACTGTCTCCATGAGGTATTCCCTGGAGTTCTAGTGAGAAGCATTGACCAGTGGAGTTCAACCAGGTCTGTTGGGAGATATCAACTCACTGAAGACATCGGTGAAATGGTTGCTCAACTTCATGGATTGGTTGAAGTTAGACATGAACACCGTTGAATGCCGGCCAGCTCAGGGGTCTAGAGGTTAGGCGCTCGTGCATGAGACAGGTAGGTCCTGGGTTCGAATCTCGTGAGTCAAGATCGTGGATGCGCACTGTTGAAGGGTCCTACAATAGGACGAGTTGGCTATTCAGTGCTTCCAGGTTTTCCATGGTGCTCTATCTTCAATTGACTAATGATTTCAAGTATATATATTTTATTAATCGAGTATTTGCAATATACTAACTAATAAAAAAATTCTATAAACTATATACACTTTATTTGTAATTTTTAAATGCACCCACCAATCAATTTTTTTCATTGATTGATTGATTGATTGATTAACTCAAAATATTGAAAATGTACAAATTAAAAATTGATTAATTAAAGAAATTAATTTTTTTTGTTTTTTAGTTCCCTAACTAAGTATCAATAAATGTCTATTACATAATATTGATTTATTTGTATTGTTAATTATTATAATTTATTATCAGAAGGGGTTTTGTGGAGATTTTAGCAATTTATAGAGTTGAGATCATGAGTCAATTGAGGCTAGACCACCATGGAAAACCTGGAAGCACTGGACGGTCGTCTCGTCCTATTATGGGACTCCTCAGCAGTGCGCATCCACGAACCCGCCTCGCGTGATTTGAGCCCAGGAGGAGGAGTCCCACAATATGATGAAACAACCATCCATTGCTTCCAGGTTTTCCAATGGTGGTCTAGCTTTAATTGATTCATGATTTGAACTATTAAATGAACTAAGAGTAGTTGATACATTCTTCTTTCCTTAAATAAAAGGGATTAAATAAGAACTTAATAGATTGAATGATTAATATTACAAATATTTAAATGATGATCTTCAAAGCTGTAGAACATAAACAAAAGTCAAGAATTCAGGGAAAGTGTGATATTAGAAAGGCTAAGAATTTCAGTTTGTAATGAAACAACTCTGTATATATAGCAACTACTAGTGAATGGATGAATAAAAATTTAGGAAATAAAAGTGAAAAAATAACTAATCAAATAATAACGATGATTTCCATTACGGTACAACATATTAAAAAAAATAATATTGTGACTATTTTCACACAGAAAAAAACTATGGATAGGTCCTAAGTTCGAATCTCGCGATCATGGAGGCCCATTGCTGAGGAGTCCCACAACATGGCGAAACAGTCGTCAAACAGTGCTTCCAGGTTTTCCATGGTGTTCTAGCTTCAATTGACTCATGATCCCAACTATTGAAAATTTGTTAACAAAAGACTGCATAACTTGTGGTTTTTCTATTAATTCGGTACCACAGAATGATCCTAACTAATTACACACAATACACAATTAAAATCGATAGATATTTCATTCTAGTATATGACTTCTCAACAGTGCATATATATAATCCTTCTAAGGTTTGGATCTGTCACTGCTAAAGAATTTCATACTAAGACAAAATAACTGTCCAGAGCTTCGTGGTTTTCGACAATTGTTTGGCTAATGTCACCTTTTTGTTGTAAATTATAAAGTTCAACATTTCCCATAAACTTGCTATATGAATAATAAATTTAAATAAACATTACATTTATTTATAAAACAAATTTATTAGGAAAGAAACAAAACAGCTTTTCAGTTTATACTGAAATCTAGTTTAAATCTATGTGAATATAAATAATCATTTTAATGATTGTGAATTTAGACTGTCAATATATTAGTAATAGTAATAGTAGTAATAGTAGTAGTAGTAGTGGTAGTAGTAGTAGTAGTAGTGGTAGTAGTAGTAGTAGTAGTGGTAGTAGTAGTAGTAATAGTAGTAGTAGTAGTAGTAGTAGTAGTAGTAGTAGTCGTAGTAGTCGTAGTAGTAGTAGTAGTAGTAGTAGTAGTAGTAGTAGTAGTAGTAGTAGTAGTAGTAGTAGTAGTAGTAGTAGTAGTAGTAGTAGTAGTAGTAGTAGTAGTAGTAGTAGTGAAATGCTAATACTCATACTAATGATAATCGAAGAAACACTTCAATTAGTAAAAATACAACCAGGAAGAATTCTTCCAGTTAAGGAAGGTTACTGCAGGATCTCCATTGGCTTCTCTCCTGAGCCAAGTCTGATAATATCTCAAGCCGCTGTGGCACACTGGCTTTAGGACTAACGCTAGGGAGTTGTGAAGTCTCTACAGAAGCCGGTCCTGTATGGTTGTTTTCGTATTACGAAACCATGTCATACATTGACCACCTCTCTGATTTTCCAAACCAGTCCGAGCGTTGGCAAATAATGCACTACGTGGGATTCTCTGGGACGACATTCGTAAAACATGTCCAAGCCACCGAAGTCGGTGTTTCAAGATGGTGACACCAATTGAATTATCGTCACTGTGCCCGAATACACGATACCGAAACTCTGCAATACTAACATGGTGTTGCCGCTGGATGTCAACAATCCTTCGGAGACAACGATGATCAAACATTGAAAGTCGTCTAACATCCTCAAATCGGAGAGGCTAGGTTTCACAAGCATAAAGCGAAAGTGCTCACACCGACGCGTTATAGACCCGACCTGTTACAGTCAGACGAACATCACGAAGGCGCCAAAGGTGACCCATATTGGCATAAACCTCTTTGATTTTCACTAGACATAAATTGATCTGATCATTCATGACACCACCAGCTACCCATGTACACGGGCTTCTCGACTACTTCTATCTGCTCACTATCTAGGGTGAGTGCATGACCAGGGTCTTTTCAGGCTTGTAGAAGTATTTTGCACTTCGTAGATGCAAAGCACTTACCATACCTACGGACACTAATTTCCAACTAAATAATTGTAGGTTGCATGGCTTGGGTATTATCTCACATTAAGACAATATCATCCGCATACTCAAGGTTGAGGAGTCTTTCTCCATGTAACAGATCCACACCATCATTACTCATATTCATGAGATCTGTTTCCAGAGCATCATCGATAGAAAAGTTTGAGAGGGATGGTGAGATAGTTCAACCTTGCCTAACCCCACTGTTTGAATGAAACAATGGAGAGAGGTGGTTTCATGTCCTCACTCTTCCTGAGGTGTTAGTATGTAGGGTTTTCAAGTTTTTAATAAACTTCTCAGGAACTATCCCATTTCTAACGTTAAATTCCATTATTCATAAATATAAATCAATCTTATTCTAACTAGCTAAAATTTGTCTTAAGTTTTCTTAGATTACTTTACAATTCACTGAAGTTATTCAATAAGTAAAGTATACTTCCATCAAATAATCTTTATTTTTAGAAAGGAGTTTTGTGGATATTATAGTAATTTCAATAGTTGAGATCATGAGTCAGTTGAAGCTAGTTTTCCATGATAATCTCTATTTGTTTACTATACAGAAAGTATTCAATCATACTTTTGTCTAACTCACATTGTTCAGTTTTGTCAATGAACAATTTTTTTTAAAAATTTTTCTCTAGAAAAATGAGTTTTTTTTTTCTTTTTTACCTTTATTCATTTGACATTATAAATTTAAATTATTTAATTGTTAATCATATGTTTAGTTGCTAGGTACATTGTACTGTTACAATAAAATATTTATAATAGTACATTTGAATAAAATTAAAAAAATTAATCGAATCTTTTCTAATATACATATTTGTGAATTGGTTGGTAGATGTAGACTAATGGGTTGGGGTCCGCGCAATCATCGTAACCAATAGTTGAGGAATCTAGGTGATATGGCTCAAAATCGACCACATTGGCGTAGGTGTATACACTCTTCATGTTCCCTTAAACCTTGAGATTAAAATTGCTTCATATCTTTCTTTCTTCTTATACTACATCCTTATATACAATCTTTCTTTTATATATTGCCACCATTAAATTAACTACTTCTATGAATCCGGTGTTCATCTTGTTGTGCTAATTAGAGGTATGGCAAGTTGGATCAATGCATATATGTGCCTGGTCATACGTTGTAGCTGACTGACTGACTGACTGGATTGGTTGAAGTTAGACATTAACACCGTTGGATGATGTCCGGCTTAGTGGTTTAATGGTTAAGCGTTCGCGAGCGAGACTGATAGGTCCTGTGTTCAAATCTAGCGAGGCAGGATAGTGGATGCACACTGCTGAGGAGTCCAACAATGGGACGAAACGGCCATCCAGTGCTCCCAAGTTTTTCACAGTGGTCTAGCTTCAATTGACTCATGATCTCAATTATTAAAATATACATATTTCTGGTATCCAGTTGTTGTTTTTTTTTGTTTCGTTTTTCATTACACTAAATATAAATAATTCTAAAATGAAGAAAATTCTGAATAGAAAATTCTCTTGATTATAAAAATCATTTAGTTAAATGTATCATACAAAAACGTTACACGTCACTTCTCATCATTTCTTGGATTTAATTCCCTTCTCTAGTATATTTTGATTATGTTTTCATTGTTTTATTATTATTATTATCCCCTAACAATTTTTCATGATTACTATTCGGTTGTTATGATGATCTATGCTTCTTTTCTTTATATCTTAATAGTTGGATTAATGAGTCGATTTAAGCTAGACTACCATTGAGAACCTCAAAGCAATGAACCACCGTTTCCTCGGAGTATTGGACTCCTCAGAAGTGTGCATCTACAATCACAGACACAAGACTCAAACCCACGACCTTCGGTCTGGCGGACAAACACTGAATCTTTAAGCCACTGAGCTAGTATCCAACGGTGTTAATGTCTAGCTTCAGTTGCCCCATAATTTTGTGCAACCATACATTCATTGTCTGAGATGGATATTTGTTTCACACCCGACATGGATTGAACCCCACTAGTTATAGCTTCTCACTAGAACTCCAGGAAATTCATCTTGAAGTCAGTCATTAGTGAGCACATAATTATTATCAGAATGGGGATTTGTCGAAATTGCATTAATTTTAATAGTTGAATTCATGATTCCATAAAGATGGAGAGATTTTTATGTTTATTTATTTCATTTCTAATTACTAGATAAATGATGTGATAATAAAAAAGAGAATTCAGCGAAGAAAATTTCCTTGTCGACGAAATCATTTACTGTACATTCGTATATATAGTTATATGGAAAATATATGTCCACAGGAGGCTAGGAAGGATTGCATTATAAATTGGTTCGACAATAAATAACAAATGAGGTGACGTACTAATCAAGCGGTAAGGAAGAAAATAATTTAAGGGTCAGATAATAGTTCAATTATGAGAAGGGGTTTTTGTGGAGATTTAGTGTTTTCATAGTTGAAAGCGTCATTCAATTGAAGCTAGATCACCATGGAAAACCTGGAAGCACTGGAAGGCCGTTTCGTCCTATTGTGGGACTCCTCAGTAGTGCGCGAGACTGGTAGGTCCTGGGTTCGAATCTTGTGGGGCGAGGTCGTGGATGTTCACTGCTGAGGAGTCCCACAATAGGACGAAACGGTCACCCAGTGCCTCCAGGTTTTGCATGGTGGTCTAGCCTCAAGTGACTCATGCTTTCAACTATGAAAATAGTCTAATTGACAGATATGAAGAAAAGCGACAAGCACAAAGGTCATAATAAAAATAACTGATTACAGTTTAAAATCCAAAACAGTAATTTCAAAGACAAAAAATCGATAATAATCAAATGAAAGTGTGGAAATAAAAAACGACAACCGGAAACATACCGATTATGGAGAATTAGGGCCAAGAAAGGGTGCGAGGTTGGATAAATCGTTTCTGCACGCAAAGTTCCAGCTTGAGTTTGTGGATTGTCAATGCCTCAGCTGTGTATAAAACATTGATTCGAACCCCTTCGATCCGGTACCTTTGACTCCATAGATTACTTTAAGGGAAGAGTCTTTTGCAGCGATTTATCCACAGTTAATTAAATGCTCTTGTATCGAACTAGTAATTTTTTTACATTCTACTTTTAAGAGCCACCCGGATAGTATTCCACGATACGTTTGGAAAGTGATCGCTTTGTGCGGCCTATGTAACGTGCCCCACATGAGCAAGTAAATTTATAGATACACACTGATATGGTTCAAAGCGAAAGTTTATCCTTGACACACCCCAGAATGGTAGGCCGCCTAGAGAAAACAATTTGAAGCTTAGCTGCGTAGAATGTTTTATTCAACGATTTTGAAATCCATTTATTCAGGCTTTCATTAGCCGTGTCTCCTTTAAATTGCATATTCATAAACAACGTTTTTTTCTGTAATGTCGAAGCTTCTTCTTGATGAAGTCTAGGTCGACGAACCTAGGTGGATAAGCATTTTTGACGATGGTCTGTCGAAGATGAAATAGTTCTTCATCTATTGTATCATTGGAATAGATTCGCTTTATCCTAGAGGATAAAGAGTGAATTAAGTTCCTCTTTCAACTCAGTGGGACCCATCTATGGAAATTCGTGTATTGTCCATTCCAGGTAGGTCCTGGGTTCGAATCTCGTGATTGTGGGATCGTGGGTGCGCAATGCTGAGAAGTCCAACAATAGAACGAAACGGCCATCCAGTGTTTCCAGGTTTTCCATAGTGGTCTAACTTCAATTGACTCACGATTTCAACCATATAAAATTACTAAAATCTCCACAAAACCCCCTTCTAATAAAGATATGATGATAAGCGACAAACACAAAGGTCATAATAAGAGGCTGAATAAACATGTATAAGGTAGTAATAATAAGGATAACTGGTTAGAGTTTAAAATGCAAAACAGTAATTCAAAAAACAGAAAAATCAATAATGATCGAATAGAAGTGAAGATATAAAAAACGACAACCAGAAATATACCTATAAATGGGTAGTACTAAATAACAGTGAACAACACTATTCGTCAAAAAATACGGTGGTTTTCTTCAATCAGAAGAGACTTTGGTAATTTTATGTAGTTGAAACTATGAATCAATTGAAGCTAGACCACCATGGAAAAACTGGAAGCACTGGATGACCGTTTCATCCTATTGTGGGACTCCTCAGCAGTGCACACCCACGATCCCACACTCACGAGATTCGAACAAAG